CTATATTCGTATTGTATTTTTAGTTATGAAATTGAAATAAAAAGAAATGTAACTTAAATTATTGGATTAGTAATAGAAATATCATATTAATTATTTCTTTAATTATAACTCAGTTAATTATAACTTTTAAATTTGTATATTTTCATTACATGAAGAGGTATGTCATAAATCAGTTAATCTCACTTAATCAGGTTTAACTTTTTCTTTTTAATACAAATTATCAAAATTGCACTAAACATATATATATATATATATATATATATATATTTATCTTAATCTTATTAAACTAATAATTTAAAAAGCTATAAACATAAAAGTTAACTTATAAATTTATGTATATTGCAAGATAAAATATTAAACTATTTCAAGATAATTATAATAATTTTTTTAATTTAGAAAGTCCCGTGCATTGCACGGATTACCACTAGTATATATATAGATATATATATATATATATATCTTGCATGTTTTCAAAACAAAATTATGGCTCACATGTTTGATTTATGTTTTGAAAATCAAGAATAAATAGAATTTAGTTGTCTTAACATGAAATTGAGTTTCAATTGTACATGTGTAGACACCCCATTTTTGACCGCCCTTCAGATTTGGGCGCCATTGATTGATTATTTGCTGATGAAAGTTGTGCTATGCAAAGGTTCGATTTCTTTAGCAATGAGAGCTCTAAATCCCAACCTTATACCCCATTTTGGACCAAAATTATTTTGACCAAAATGATTTTTAGACCTTAAAACCCTCTCTTTCAATATATTTTTGAAAAAGTTTCTATGATGTTTCGAGGCTCGCATTTCGTTAAATGTTGCATTTTTCAGTAAACCAGGCAAGGACAAAGTGGAAATGAATGAAAGAGAGGTGAACTCTTTGAAAAATCTTTCAAAACACCTTATTTAGGGGTTTGGAGTTGAAGAAAAGAGGAGAGAAGGGAAGAAAACTAGCTGAGGAGAAGTTACGCATGAATCTGGTTAGAACCGAAATTGAGCAGTCTTCACTAAAAGAGGCATATCTTTTTGCACACTTATAATTTTGATGTGAAGCTGCCACCATTGGAAATAAGACTTCGGGGGCTTCAATTTAGACTCAATAATGACCTGTAAAGGAGTCCAGATGAAGGAGATATGCCTATTTGAAGTTGGACCTGAAGGGCAGTGTATCGGCCATGAATGGAGTTTGTCGGCCATGTGTCGGCCAGAGGTGCATTTATTCGGCCACTGGTGTCCAAAAGGTCAGATTTTGTAGATATTTTCCTCCAACTATCTCCCAAAAGCTCCAGTTGTCTGTTTGTTGATATTTTCGACCTGAGCTCTCATTTTTCTATATATAAAGGACCTTCTCTATTGTTTTCAAGATTGGAAATTTTGGGAGCCTCTCTCTCTAAATTTCTCTCTCTCTCTCTTGCCCTTTTGTGCATATAAGTAGAGACACACTTCTAGTTTGCCTATCAACCCTTAACCAAGGTTGCTTATCTTTGGGCTAAGGTTGCTTGAGACCCTCTTTGAGCTCTAAAAGGTGTTTGTGGCTTGGATTGTTGCCTATTTTGTGCTTTGGCTCCAAGAGGTATACTACTTGCTTTGCTAGCTTGTTTTGCACACTTGCTTTGCTATCTTTTTCTACTATTTTGGGGCTAGTTTTGACATGTAAAAAGTTCTATTTTTGAGGCCTAAAAGTGGTGGTTTGAGCCCTTTTGAGTTAGGGGGTTGTCCACCATTTTTGCTCCTTTATTTGTTAAGCTCTTGTATCATCTTTTCATCACTTTCAAACCAACTTTTTTAGGCCTTTTAACCACTGAATTTCAGAGGTTTTTCAATGGTAAAAACCTTCTTTTGAAGTCCAAAATTGGAGGGGTTAGCCTCTCCTCCTTGTGTCTTGTTTGCATGCCTAGTTAGCTTCATGAGTTAGCATGTTTTTCTAGCTTAACTTAGCTCTAGTCCAACATGTTTTTGCCTTTGAAATAACCTGTTTTGGCTTTGTTTTGGGCAGGTTAGTTAGTTGAGGCTTGTACTTCATAGTTGTAGTGTTATATTCCTTCACTAGCTTGGAGTTATGTTTTGATCACCATTGTTTTGAGTTAATGGCATGTTTTAGTGTTGTTTTGCACTCCATTTCAGCACTTGAAATCTCTGCAACCTCCCTTTTTGCTTCACTCTTTTCTTTACTTTTGAGAGTTGTTTCAAACTTGGGATCTTTTAAGCTTAAAATTGAGATTATGCTTAATGGTTTAATCCTGTTTGGGGGTTCATTACCAACGGCATGATCTCTCTCATGCCTTAAATCACCCCTTGGTTGACATTTCTTTCCATTAGAAGACATTCACCAATAGACGTAATCGATTAAAGAATGAATTGATAATGTAAAATGGGTAAACAAAATGAACAAGTAAAAGAGGCAAGATAAGCATCTTTTGTAATGCATTGCATGTGTTTGAATCGGACGTTAATTCGAACACGAGAAAAATGGGACATTTCATACTCAAAAGTGATGAAATGTGCCATCTTCCTTGGTTGCCATCACCCTTGATCATGCATGTTAGGGGGTGGTCTTTTTGAGTCTTGTTTTGCACTCATCAAACTTGTACAAACTTGGTTCTTTGGCCATTATGCATGGAAATTGCTTGATTGGTGGTTTGAGAGCCAAGAGTTACACTCCTTTGAGCTTGTTTGATGATAAGGAGGGTAATAGTATAAACACTCCATGAGAATACACTGCTTTGCCTCTGTTTGCTCTTTGTTGCAGCAAAAGGAAGTTCAGGGTAGCAGCGGCCGACCGGCCATCAGCAGTGGCCGACGACCACCAACAGTAGCCGACCGACCATCAATGAAATTTGCACAGTATGTTGGTAAGGTGGAGCAGAGGCATTTTGGGAGTTAGCAGCATTGTTGGTGCTCAAAGTATGCAAACAAAGGCATTCAATGGCAAGGCGGTGGCTTTTCGAGTGGAGAAATCGAGCATGCATGCATCCCTTACTTCCCATAAGTGGTTCGGTTCGGTTCGATTTGGTCGAGTAGAGAAAAAATTTAATATTGAACCAATTCATTCAACCATTAAGTTTTGTTGGATGATAAACTCAAATATACCATATACTACTATTCGGTTTTGTCAGTTTAGTATAGAGAAATAATTCACGAGATTTTAATGGGTTTTATAAAAATTTGTAAAATTTTACATTGAAAATAAATATAAAAAAAAAAGAGTAAAATTGTTCTAAATGTCTTCCTTTACAAAACATATATTATTAATCACTTATCTTCTAATGTATAAAGAATTAAAATTTAAAAATATTTAAATATAATATATAATATAATATTTTATATAATTTGATTTATGTGGATGTAAAAAATTTTAAAATCAAAATAGACCACACATTATGAAAAATAGGACCGCAAATCAAAATTTTAATCAATCTTAAATGGTTGATTTAGTTACTTTTAATGAATTTGAACTACTCTTAAAACAAAATGACATGTTACATTCAGGTTGACCCACCACATTATAAAAAGTTTGAACTTGTTCACACCCTATGAGTATGTGAACAATACACACTTTTTCGTATAAAATAGTAAAAATTTATCACTTTATGCTTTGTTTATTTGGGAAGAATATATTTTGTATTTTTTGGTATTTGATACAATGAAAAACGAAAGTCAATGGAAAATATTTTCCATGACCAACAAAAAACAAACCTATATAGGCAAAAAATGTTTTTCACTTTTAAAAGGCAGAAAACGTTTTCCGAACTAAAGTCTAACCGTTGTCACCACACTCCACCTCCACCACCACACCACACCACACCACCATCACCACGGCCACTTCACCGTTGCAGCCGCCCCACCATCATGCCACCACCTCCACCTCCACCTCCACCTTAGTTTTTCACCACCACCACCACCACCACCACCACCACCACCAAATATAAAAAAATATTTTCTTCAAAAAATATTTTTCGAAAAAAAATTTCGGTAGAAAAAATGTTCATTTAAAAATGTTTTTCTCTCAAATAAACGGAGCAAAAGATAAAACCATTACATTGCTTTAATATGAAGTTTAAATTTTTATACTAATTGTATTTTGTGTATTATTCAACCACTAAAAAAGAGTGTGTGAACAAAGTTATAAAAGTCATGGCATTAATTTTTTTTTTCCGACTCTAGAATTTCTAATATGGTCCACTGCACTTTTTTTTGGTTAAGTTATGGTCCACTGCACTTTGCACAGACATAACATTTTATACTTTTTTCACCACCGGGGGTGGTGGTAACGTGGATTAGGCACTTGCCTACAACGTAGATGGCATGTGCAGAATGATATAAAATGTGATAGAAACAAAAATAGTACAACAAAGATTCGGTTTTTGGTTTTGGTTTTTTTTTTTTTTTGTTTTTCCCCCGTTACTGATCAGTATCTGGGAAAGCAAAGATGAAAAACATGGCAAGTGAAAGTGAATTTTTTGTTCATTGTGTCACACTTTTTGTGTTCCCAGTCAAGCTCAAGGTGAGAAAAAAACAAAAGAAAAAAGCAATAATAAGCACATTCTGCAGACTAAGAGATGTATAAAATGTTTTCTTTCCAAGCAATTCAAGAACATATTTCATCAATTAAATTAATTTTAGTGATAAAATGTCTTTGAATTTCTCCAAACTATAAGCCGGCTTTGTTCCATCTTACACATCGTTTGGAAAGGAAGTTGAAAAACCCAATAATTGATATTCTCTTGTTTTACTTGAATCGTTACTTGAATCATGGGAAACTCACATCGTCTCACAGAATATCGATACTTTTCCCTTTTACTACAGAACTTGATCAGAATGTTTGAATTAAAACTATCGGAAATCTAATCTTGCTCACTACATTCGTGTAGTTCTATATGTTCTTAGGCAATGATGATGGAAGAACTTGAAAAACCAAAAAGAAAGAATATCATTGAGAGAGTCAAAATTTTATCAGTGAAAAACACGCCACCTAAAACAGCATTAATCCTGGTATTAGAGGACCTGGGTGTGTGAACAGGGAATTTGACCAGACCTTTCACAAAATTAAGCAGAAATACGACTCTTAGATAAGTCTTGTACAAATTTCAACCACATCCAGGCAAGTGTGGTGTGAACAGGGAACTGTACAATTTTGACAGTTTTCTTACCTTGAATAGTGATGTTTAATTCTAGAATAAATTGAAATCCTAAAACTTATTAGTCCCTAAAAAAAAAAAAAAACAAAACAAAACAAAAGTAGAGAAAGAAATACTCAATACTTCAAACAATCAACTGTAATTTGTTTGTTGAAAACTACTTGCTTTATCTTGGTCCTGATAAAACTGATGGGCTAGCAGCAGCACCAGTGGCATCCTCTTGGTTTCCAGCAACTCTGATTGCTCTTCGTACCACAGGAGTTGTGAAGTCATAATCCAAATTGTTTTCAACTTCTACAGAACCCTCCAGGACCTTAACCACCACTGACATTGAAGGCCTCCTAGAAAAATCAATTTGTAGACACCACACAGCAACCCTCATCATCTTCACAACTTCTTCTCTATGTATCTGCATGTCATCATTGTATTTATCAACGATATCCAGAAGGTGTTCCTCTTCTGCTTTCCTCTTAAATAGATCTAGTAAATCCTCAGGTTGAGAACTATCAAAATTTTTACACCCACACAACATTTCTAAGACCACGACACCAAAGCTATAAACATCTACTTTTTCAGAGATAATTGATTTCAACCATTCGGGAGCCATATAGCCTCGGGTTCCCTTCATTTTTGTTTCAACTTGACTTTGGTCCTTATCAATTAGTTTTGACAATCCAAAATCAGAAATTTTCGCATTGAAGTGTTCATCTAAGAGGATGTTTTGGGGTTTGATATCCAAGTGAAGTATTTTCTGCCTGCATTCCTCGTGGAGATAGGTTAGTCCCTTGGCTATATCCATGATGATCTTCTTTCTGTATTGCCACCCAAGAGTGCGGTCTTTGTGCCTGTGGAAGATCCATGTATCCAAGGATCCACTGGACATATACTCGTAAACTAGAAGACGATATGATTTTTCAGCACAAAATCCAATTAATCTTACCAAATTGACATGGTGAATGCTGCCTATCGTCTTAACTTCAGCTAAGAATGACTTCTTAACATGATCAAAACCATTGAGATGCTTCACTGCTATTTTGGTGCCATTGCTTAATTTCCCTTGAAACACTGACCCAAATCCTCCTTTCCCGATCTCATCGTTGAAATTGCATGTCATGGCTCTCAAGTCTTTGTAAGAGAACCTGATAGGAATCCCTGGTACTTGATCGACAGAGAATTCATCAAGTTCCTTGGATTCTCCTTTATTTCTAAAAAGATAAAAGCAGAAGGCAACCACAACAAATACAACAAAGAAAGCTCCGAGACTGGACCCAAGTATGATTATTATGAGTTGCCTTGGTTTTCTTTGAGAAGAATCTGCTGGTGAAGATGGAGATGGAGCAACAACAACAGCAGGAGAATCTGCTGGTGAAGATGGAGATGGAGCAACAACAACAGCAGGAGACGGAAATGGAGATGGAGATCGAGATGGAGATGGAGGTAGAGATGGAATATAAATACTACCATCAGTAGATGGAGGAGGTGGAGAAGGAGAAGATAGAGGTGGAGGTGGAATATAAGTACTACCAGCAGTAGATGGAGGAGGTGGAGAAGGAGGGAGGTGGAATATAAGTACTACCAGCAGTAGATGGAGGAGGTGGAGAAGGAGAAGATAGAGGTGATGGAATAAAAGTATTACCATTAGGAGATGGAATAAAAGTATTGCCATTACGAGATGGAGGTTGGCGATTGCTCGAAGTTGCAAAGGATAAGAAAGGAGATGGAGGTTGGGCATTGCTGAAAGGTGCAGAGGATAAGAAAAAGGTAATAATAGCAGCAGCAGCAGTAACATAATAATAAACAGTGCAACAACAACACAGATCCATTAGAACTCTGTTTCTTCTTCTTGATTACTAGTTTTTGGTTTTCTTTTGTTGGGAGAAGAAGGTTGAAGAAGAAAGGTGAGCTGTAAACTCCAGCTTTCGTGTCCGGCAAATGCAGAACAGCGAGGGAAGTGATGCTTTTACTGTCCCCACTCCTTTTGTTATGTCAAAAAAAGGAGCACACATTTCTTGACTCATACATGCACAAAAAGATCGGAATCTGATGATCTCTGCAACCACTCCTTTTGTAATGTCAAAAAAAAGGAGCACACATTTCTTCACTCATACTCTGATGATCTCTGCAACAAGTTTATAATAAAAGATTTTCATTATATATCTAATAACTATAAAATAGAAATGTAAGCTTATAATTATTAATTTAAGGGGTGAAATAAAATTTTAAATGAAATTTTGATTTTACATCAAAAATTTCTATTTGATTATAGACCACAACTAATGGCGAAAATAAAATTGATCAAAAAACAAATAGTTCAATTATATAATTAATCTTATTAAAATGAATGGAGAATTCTATTATGCACACCTTCATACCATATACACCATTAGTTACGTCATTTTCTTTTTTAGTTCTAATATTATTTTGAAATATTTGGCTATGACTTTTTTTTGCTTGATTATGACTTCTTTTTTTTTTTTATAGTTATAACTTAGAAAATATGAAGTTATATCATTTTCTTATGCCCATAGTTTTTTCCTAAAAGAATCACTACAACAAAAAAGGATTTTTATGGCGCGCAATACACGCCGTAAAAACCCTTCTACAACGTGTAACACGCGTCATATTATGACTAGTCATAGAAAGTCATTCACTTTCAACGACATGCTTCGTTCGCCATTAAAAACTATTTAACGGTAGATTTTGTACTTCGTTGTTACTTTTTCTATGGCATGCAATAATGCGTCGTTAAAAACTATTTAACGGCAGATTTTGCGTGTCATTGTTACTTTTTCTACGACTACTTTTGCACGACGTTAAAAACCTTTTAATAGCGGATCTTGTGCGTCGTATTTTATTTTTCTACAACTACTTTTGCACGCCGTTAATTCAAAAGGACAAACCACGACGTTCATTACTAGTCGTTAAATATTTAATACAATGACCTATTTTGCCTACCGTAGATAGTCCAAGTTTCACAGTATTTTTTGCATGCTGTAGAATATGTATATATATATATATATATTTTTTTTAAAAAAAAAAAATCAGCAGGTTTTATTTCACATGTTCTGTATAATCTAAGAAAACATTACAAACAAATTTCACAAATATATATATATATATAAGCATTAATCAAACACCAAACTATTGTTTCAAACATCTATAAAAAAACTATCCATAAGTTCTAAATATCCAAAAACTATCTATACATTCCAAACCATCTAAAAACTATGTTTCTAAACATAAAAAACTATCCCTAAGTTCTAAACCGTCCAAAATGTTCTAAATCATCCAAAAAAATATTGGATATTTCCTCAAGGATGGGAAATCAACAATATTGTTAGATGGGAATGCAAGGTTTGAACCCTCGTTCATGTATTCAGTTTCAGAAGGAATCGATTGAGCTTGTTGTCGACATGGAATGGACTCAACTGCATCTCAATGAGAAGTGTCAGCATCAGGTTTCTCTCTCTCAATTTGAACCTTGGGCTTGGGTTGGAATTTGCCACCGCGATGTCCTGAGATCAACCAGCTCAGCAAGATTAAATCAAAGGCTCTACCAAGACTAATCACTTAATAATTGTCATCTTCTGTGGGTTCCACATTGACTTAACTGCGTTAGCATCATAGTATCATACTCTCTCATAAAGTTGACAAGAGAACCAAACTATCAAAGTAACCATGATTCTACTCCATAGAAGGTTTATGATGTTCTAAACAATGGTGCCAACTTTAACTGGCACTACCGAGTTGATTGATTCAATCAAGTATCAATATTCGAAGTATCTATTTGATGCACTAAATAGCACTCTGTAAGACTGTAACCAGATTTCTTACCCAAGGCTATTGACTCCAATGTACCCAAAAAAATAAAAAAGATTGTAACCAGCTTTACACATTCAAGAAAGTATATTGTGTATTAGTCTCACCGTTAAACTTGTGAACCCGATCAACACCATCAATGACCCGTATCTGTGAATCTGCAGATGTAATGTGCAGTTCTGATGAGCTTCCTGGTGCAAACTGTTAATTGAAAACTTATCAGCAACTGTAAAGGCATCGAGCAAACATTTATGGCTCAGAAGCAAATGGTGCAAGGACCATTGCAATGGAAACCGGTAAATAACTTTATGTGAAGCCAAAAAAAATAAAGAAAAAGGATTCCACTTTATCTTTCATACCTACCATGTCCGCAGAAGTACATAGGATTGACAAATCAATTACTTGAAAACCAGTGATATTCTTTCAATGAGATTTCTTTTTCTTATTTTGCAGATTGATTTGAGCTTTTTGTTGCAACTTATTTTCTTGAAAAGAGGGGAAAAAGTTCAATAATAGTGATAGGAGAAAGAGAAGAGATAAAGAGAGAACTATCTTCTGTACCAGAAGTGTTGTATAAGCGGCAGCTCCCCTTGTATGAACTAACTAGTGCTCCCTTCAGATATCAACAAATATTCATTAAGCCATATATAAAACACCCACATACTATAAAATGACATCTCTACGCCTTTTTAGTGGAGCAAAAGTAAATCAGAGGCTCTGTCTAGATATGGCCAACCTGACCATCTGGTGTATAGCAAGCAACAATGACCATCTCATGCAAATCATTCCAATCAACAACTTGACGATCAGGAATGCTCCATATGTGAACCTTAGCATCTAACGATCCACTGATGAAGTATCTATCATCAACAGGGTTAAACTGGATGCAAGTTACTGTGTCAAGGCAAATCCAAACAACAATCAAATAATTAGCTAATAGATCAACCAGAGCAATGAAAAGAATGTGTTTCTTCTGACTCATAATGTGGACACTGATCTTGTACAAAAAAATGAATAAAAAAGAAAAGAACTCCTAATTAGGTATTTTAAAAACACCTAAAAAGTTTTTGTAATATTTTTGAAACAGAAAACATTGATATCTTTAACAATTGTTCAGGAAGGGTGTTCTCACCATTGGAAAAGGGGGTTCCAAACTCATCCAGTTTTCTGAGTACCATAATTAAAGGCCAAACAATGAGTTGAGGCAAAATGAGTATAACAGATCAATTACTTACCATAATCACTGTGCGAACAAAACCTTCAAACAAGACTTGCCAGACAAGTGCCAAAGCCACACAGTTTTGTCCATTGAAGATGAGAGCAAATGCTGAAAATAAAATTTTTGATAGTAAGATGTATTGATTACATATTGGACTAGCCAGAAGCCTGATCCCGTGATCCACAGGAAGCTCAATTGCTTAACTAAGATGCATATATCCATCTTCACAAGATGTCATATAGAATAGACAATAAAAGACAAATACCAATAGATTTTTGAGGATACCCATGCGCTTCACTGAGGTTTTTACTCATTTGACATCAACATCCTTTACCTCAAAATTTCATCAATACAATAGTTATAACAAATTATCCACCTTATCTGATTGAGGTAAAACATTGATAGAAACCAGTGCCCAAAATAAGGATGAAAAGATAATAACATGTGATGAAAAATGAGTATCTAACACATCCTTTTTTGTTGAGTATCTAACACATCCTTGAACTACTGAACCTTAAACACCATACAATTTCGTGATGTCTCATTATGAAAAACCGGAATTCCTAGTCATTATAAAGCATTCCCCATTGATTTGCCAAAATACAGCCCCCTCAGCCATATGCAAATTGCCTCTATGTTAGCATTCCCCAACTCGTAACGCCCCAAAGGTGTGAAGCATGCTCCACAATTTTTTTGGCACGAACACCTCAACCTCAACCGCAATGCATTTTGTTTTCAGATATCTTTTCAGGCTAAATGAACATGTCAAATGGTAAATGGTTGTATTATATAGTTTTGAACAAACTAACTAGTTAACTAACAACAAAACATATCAGAGGTTTAATAGTAAGCCTCGCAGACTCGCAGTAAACATTTCAAGAGTATCTGCATATAATGTTTCCTGAAGATAAGCTTGATCAAAAAATTATACATTAGCCTACTTCATTCACCACCCATACAACATGCAACATACAACAAAAGATTAATTCTTTGGACTTTGCAAGAATAATAATCATATGCTACAATGCTACTAAAAATGCGAATAAAATACTACCAAAATAGCAGTGTAAGTGTAGCTAACTTGAGACTTGGACCATGACAGGTCAAGTACACCATCAAGATGCACTTGGAATGAACAAATTTTTTTTTTTTTTTTTTTTTTTTTTCTAAAAGTGCAAACACAGTCTCTGGAACCATAATGTGATCCAGGCTCACTGATTTCCGGCTTATGGAAGATCTTCCTCTTCTCTTCTTCTCTGGAAGGCTGTCCAAATTTGGTGACAAAGAAATTGGTTCTGGTGACCCATTGGCAACAAATAAAATATTCAAATTACCATCTTCCGGCTTAACTATTAACAGATCACCTTTTCTTTCTGATTTCTCAAAATAAACTCCATCATTCCCAAATTTCATCATAATAAATCATTTTTAAATCATAACAGATTTAGATGTTTTAATTTGATAATCAAATTTCAAACCAAATACCAAAAAAAAAAAAATCCATTGATCTAATAATAAACTAGTGTCTGCCATGTATTTGTATTTGTATTTGTTTTATTACATATAAAATTGTTTGAGCTTTTTTCATTGGGAAATTACCTACCAACTAGAGACAATTAAATATAAAATTGCTTGAGCCTTTTTCATTTCGTAACATGTGGTAGTGGATAGATATGAAATAAAAAAAGGTGAAAGAAACTTGATGAAATGCCCAGCAAAATTAATATATATATATATGTATATGTATATATTGGAGGGGACACTATTCTGAAAACTTTTGAATTCTTAGTTACTAGCAAGCATAGACATAGAGGCTTATCAAGGGCTGAGGGGGCCATGACCACCCCAAGCCATAGCATAGTTCTGTCTCTGGATCCAGTGGACGAAAAACTAGAAATCAATCCTAAAAAGTAATATTTTCCCACTCCATATATTTAAGCCATTTTTGAACTGAACTTTCAACAAAGTAACAACAACAATCTAATTAGGCAATTAAGGCTCCAGCTGCAACCTGCAGGGAAAATTCAATTCCAGCTACTGCCCATTTTTCAGTCATAATATCTAAACATCTTATTTAGAATTAGAAGTCTGTCACACCCCAACTCCAGGCATGACCAGCCGTGGCCCACAGGGACTAAGCCCAAGGCACACGTAAGCCTTAAACATGAACCCAAAATCACAAAGAATAAATGTGACGATAGCCCATAAATAAATAAATCAAAACCCAATCCACTGACATGTCACAAACTAAATGGTAACACCAACCACAACCAACTTCCAAAAATATATACTAAATGGGACACAAACCGCCCACAAAATAAAATAATTCCAAATCAAACCCAACCACAATATATGCACAAAACTCGACATAACAAGCTAAAACAAAATAAATGAATGTCCTAGAGGTCCATGCAATCGAGTCCCCACTACGCCACAAGTCCACTTTAAGTCCTTCTAACATCTGGAAATGATAAACAACTAAGTTAGATGATAGCTCAGTGAGTAGAAACATGGATAGTATATACAGTTTTGAAAACATGGATCAATTCCAAAATAAGATATATATCACAGAAACTAGATTGGCATACAGTTTGGTAAAGAGAATATGTTTCAAAAAGAAGGTTCCACAGTTCAACAATTAAAATACTCATGTCTCTCGAGAACATGATAAATGACATTTTTCACTTAAAACAGATTACAACATGAACACCAATAATTTTCTGGGTACCAAGAAA